CTTTCTCTCCATATTCGTTAGTTTTTTCCGCTCTTTCTCTCTGTATTCATTAGCTTTCACCGCGTTTTCTCTCAGTATTCATTAGCTTTCACCGTGCTTTCTCTCAGTATTCTCTAGCTTTCACCGCACTTTCTCTCAGTATTCATTAGCTTTCACCGTGCTTTCTCTCAGTATTCATTAGCTTTCACCACACTTTCTCTCAGTATTCGTTACCTTTCACCGCACTTTCTCTCAGTATTCGTTACCTTTCACCGCACTTTCTCTCAGTATTCGTTACCTTTCACCGCACTTTCTCTCAGTATTCATTAGCTTTTCCTGCACTTTCTCTCAGTACTCATTAGCTTTCACCGCGCTTTCTCTCAGTATTCATTAGCTTTCATCACACTTTCCCTCAGTATTCGTTAGCTTTCACCACACTTTCTCTCAGTATTCATTAGCTTTCACCGCGCTTTCTCTCAGTATTCGTTAGCTTTCACTACACTCTCTCTTAGTATTCATTAGCTTTCACCGCACTTTCTCTCAGTATTCATTAGCTTTCACTGCACTTTCTCTCAGTATTCATTAGCTTTCACTGCACTTTCTCTCAGTATTCATTAGCTTTCACCGCACTTTCTCTCAGTATTCTCTAGCTTTCACCGCACTTTCTCTCAGTATTCATTAGCTTTCACCGTGCTTTCTCTCAGTATTCATTAGCTTTCACTGCACTTTCTCTCAGTATTCATTAGCTTTCACCGCGCTTTCTCTAAATATTCCTCAGCTTTCTCCCTTTTTCCATACTGTTATTATTGCTGATGGTTCACTGATACCTGAACCTTTTAGAATAAAAACCCGTCAGAGTAATTATATAATATTCACACGGAAAGTTCCTAGCATAGTTCCGTATCCCTAGTTAGACAGAGGCAGGGAAATGCAGAACAATTATATAATGGTTCTCAATGGGGGTCTCTCTCCCCATTTGGCTTCTGTGATGAATAGCGTTCGCATAGGATGAATCCAATTAACCCGAGCAGCAACTGACAGCTTTTGTACCAGAACTGAACATTCTACTGGTCAATGATTAATTATAGCCAGATGGATATGAGGTTTTTTAATGTCTCACTGCATTGATAGCTGTTTGGGATTTGTGTGTACAGGTTATGCTGTTTATTAATCATTAATCCTGACTTTGGATTTATCTTACATGGAGAGTTGTATATATAGCTACCTGTGACAGTTCCACGTTGCTTTCTCTATTTTTATTTGATAGCAGTCTCGACCTGTTCATGTTGTGGACTTACCCAGCAGCAGTTACTGTGAAAAATCGGGTGATACTGGCCTCCTCACACCTCTTTGTGGACGACAAGCATTAGTTAACGACACCTGATTGGAGGAAAGAAACTGGTCATACTGATGGCCAGGTATGTAATGTTGCAACGTTAATGTTAATTAAACGACATTTTAATGTCGTTAATTAAACAACATGTTAAACGGTATGTTAATGTTAAAAAACGACATATAATGTTGTCCTGAGATATAATGGGACAAACAGGTCTCAGTGTTTTCCTGTTCACGTCAACTTATTGTAGTTTCAAAAGGAAATTTATGTATCATCTAGATTCTATAACATAATAGACAGCTTTATTTTGCTATCTAATAAATTTTTTAAACGCTTCGGTGATGGTGCACCGTAACAGCCTTATAGCCAATCAGCTGCAAGCAGTCACGTGACCGCTTCTTACTGGCTGCGATATAAGATACATGGTGCCAAATCCAATTAGACTTAACACATTCACAAAGGAGACATCTCCCGTCACGCAGGGTGCATTCGCACCTCCACAGATCTCCAGTATCAGCTCTCGATACTGGTAATGGCTCAAAAGGGCCACCACTTACGGGCTATTCATGCCCGTGCCACCTTTTGGATGGCTTAATCTTCATCAATCAATCAATCAATCCAATCAGAGAAGCGCGTGCTCTTCTTCTGTGTGAGCTTCCATTAGAAAATTAAAAACAACAGATAACTAAGGTAAACAACGGAAGCTAAAATGAGGGACAAAGAAATGAGTACACTAGAGTCAGATGAGAAGCTTAGAGGCTCTTTCTTGCTATATCCAAAGACAGGAAAAATTTCAGTACCAATTTATATAAGAAAATCTACAGTCTTTGAGTTATGAAGATTGCTTATTGAAGATGTTTTGAAGGTTACCTTACCTTGAGGTTACCTTGAGGTGCTTTCGGGGCTTAGTGTCCCCGCGGCCCGGTCGTTGACCAGGCCTCCTGGTTGCTGAACTAATCTGAATCTATCTGGTATCTGAAAACTGAGGTATCTGAAAACTAAAGGTATCTGAAAACTGCTTAGGCTTAAGGAAGACGTCTTGAAGGTGCTTGAAAACTGCTAAACTGCGATTCACACAGTGGCAGTGCTTCACAGGGATATACGCACCGAGAGGTATAACCAGATCGTTCAAAAATGTCCTTTCATGCTTGGTTAGTTAGCTATTGTGGCACTCTTAATAACCCTAGAGAGGTCGATACCCCTTAAACGCCCCCCCCCCCCCACCGTCCCCCGGCCAACCCGTTTACATACAACAGCCCGTCCTCCAAACAAAGATCCAAAAGTGATTCCATGCACCCGCCAAACCCCCCGTTTATGAATGAAAAGCGGTTTACACACGACTCACAACTGCTGACGTTCGAACATATCAGGAACAAGTGTTTCACTGACGAATTTTGTTCGAATCACAACGCTATAAATGCTTCACTCACGTACTACAAATACAAATAATCGCCAACAAAACCTAAACACCTAACCTAACCTATGCACTAATATATTATAATATAAAATATGCGTTTTGAATGAAGAGCATGTATTTATGAAATGGATGTAATTTACACTTGAGAAAATTCCCGTTTTGAATGTAACTATATAGCATGTTGCGAAAAAGTTTTATGAATGCGTTCAAATTTATGTGCGGGGGGGGGGGGGGTCGACCACTAGATGGAATGGACTTGAGTCGAAGACGGGTTGCTGGAGGACGGGCTGCCCCCTGCAGCAACACACCACCTCAGCGTTTCATACAATTCGAACCGCAGTCAACTTCTGGATTTGAAGCGTCAGTCAACACTCGTTGACCAGTTGACGTGGAGCGAAGCACGGGAACAGGGGTGACTTGATAGCAATCCTATTGGTTTGTAATTTTCGTGTGACTGGCTTGTGAAGCCCGTGGTGGACTACAAGCAGACCAAGCTGAAGCATTTGGGTAAGACTAGACTATACTAGAGTGATGTTGGGGAACCCCCCCCCCCCCCATCCCATAGGGGGCGTTGCATGATTGGGAAGGGAAGGTGGGGGATGTTGTTGTTATAGATTCAGCTACTCGGAACAAGTTCCAAGTAGCACGGGGTATGGTGAGCCCGTAGTGGACTTACCTGGCACAGGAGCGGTGCTGTGATGGTAGGGAATTATCTCCCCCCTTATCTAAGTTTGGTAGTTGCCTTCATATTGGCCTTGCCTTACAGAGGGGGAGTTGCTTCCCCCCCCCCCCCCTTCCCTCACTAACGGTTGGTGAGGCTTAGTGTGTGGGGGAGGCGCGCCCCCCTCTCTGTGGGTAGTGTTTATAATGTTACGTGATCTCTGAAATAAGTTATTTACAATAAAATTTAGTAGTAAAGAGACAGAGAAAGTAATGGAGTCAGACACGACTCTTAGACGTTAGTAAATGAATCACATTAGCATGGCTTAATTTTTATGAAGCGTGATGAAAGACGGAATAAAGGTATGATAAATTTGGAATAATCTTCATTTTAATCTTTTGTATTTTAGACATTATCTTGTCAAACTTAAGGAAAGAGGTGACTTAAGGATGTCTTTTTTTATATATAAGCTATTAATATCTTTAAAAAATTTTTTTATAAGCTATTAATAACTCTTTTCAAATATATTTAAGTACTTTTTATAGGGCAAGTTTTTGTTGTTTAATTATCGGGAAAGTTGAAAATATTAAACATTTGTGATGCACGTAATAAGTAAACATTGTAATTAGTTATAATTATCCATGAGCTCTTTCATTGGCCCAATCACTTGGGCTGGACGGTAGAGCGACGGTCTCGCTTAATACAGGTCGGCGTTCAATCCCCGACCGTCCAAGTGGTTGGGCACCATTCCTGCATTCCCGTCCCATCCCAAATCCTTATCCTGACCCCTTCCCAGTGCTATATAGTCGTAATGGCTTGATGCTTTCTATTGATAATTCCCTGACCCCTCTCTATATAAGCGTAATGGACTGGCTCTTTTCCATGATAATTCCCTTCTCTTCCTCTTTCACTGCCTTTTCACCGTTTGTTCTTGACCCTGTTCTTCAGATAACGGAAGAACAAGACTACTGCTAAGGAGAGCAAGACAGACTTCTCGATTGACTTCATTCCTGAGTGTTATCGATGCAGGTGAGTTGGCTATCACAACACGTTTTGCGATCTTTCTAGACAGGGATAACGAAAATAGTCAGTTGAACTGCTATCCACAAGCATTGATGGAGGCCAGTGACAGCCTTTTACCTGAATTTAAAGTAATAGTAAGAAAGTTAAGTAAATGTTATTCTGAAAAGTACATATATAGTTGATTTACAATGTTAAAAAAAATAAGTGTGTGTTAAACATAATAGCTCTATCTATGAATCAGATTTATAGATAGCTAGTACATACAATACCTAAAGCACTAGTAAGCATAGCGTTTCGGGCAACGCTAATGGTTCGGGTTAATGGGTTGTCGCTGCTGTTTTTAGAGTTAGTCAGTGCTCTATTTTTGGTCGTAGCATTTTGGATATATTGGATAAAATAACCCTGGCTCATATCTGTTTATTCTACTATAGTATTTATGGTACTGGGGCTCGGGGTGACTATTAAATGATTGACATAAGTATGGGGCTGTTGTTGTTAAAGATTTAGCTATTCAGGACGGAGTGTCCATGTAACGGGCTATGGTGAGCCCGTAAAAAAAAAGTATGAGGCGTTTACTGGTGCTAAAGTACCTCTAGGAGTTGGGGGGGGGGGTCACCTACAGCTGTCACCTACAGCTAGGGGGTGACAGCTGGGGGTGACAGCTGTGGTTGAATCACACTTAAATTAGAAATTGCATAATTCTCGGTTATTGGAGGACGTCTGTTCCCTTAAGATAATACAGTTTACGTGTTAGGTTCTGGTATGCAGTTATTGAGGTAAATGTTAATTTTAAAACCTTTATCCTGTCACAAAAGTGTAATATTGTCATGTCTTGTAACACCACTAAAGTTACGTACAGACGGGAGTTGGGGGTTTTGAACAAGACTTCTAGATAGACACAATTTGAAAGGGGTAAAACAATAGCGTTGTGTTTGGTTAATAAACCCACCTTTTAAGGAGTCTGAACCGTATTGTTTAACCATTAACTTGAAGAATAGTGACCACTAGTCATTGGCGAGTATATACAAGGAGAGCAAACAATGGGAAGTGCCCCACGCAAGTACCGTGATTACCCTCTCGGCCAGCACTTAGTGAAGTTGCCACCTCACGAAGTAGCAACAATGGGGATTACAAGTGCCACTTAAAACACTTGGAAATTGGTGTGTCAAGGCAAACTGAAATAAGACAAAAAAAAACAAAATTCCTTGCAGGAGAATTAAGATGCAGGGAAGGGGGGATGAGGAGGGGGGGGGGGAAGAAGACTATTAAAAATTAATTATAATTAGTAACTATAAAAAATCCTGTGGATGTTGTACAATTTTTTTTACCCAGACATCGTTGGAAATAATTCAATGCCTCTGATGCATTGGAACTTCTTAGTGTCAGACGAAGTTATTCAGCCGATTTATATCTAGCAAAAAATAGCTCTCTAGAGTTTGGAAAGACTAGGCAGGAAAGTGGAAATTGATTCAAAGCGTTTGGGCAACTGTCCTGCTCAATCCCCCCCACGGATTCTTCGGGGAGGGTGACCTGGGACTAATAGAAATGTTGAAAGGTGCATCTACCCCGGAAAATTATGGGGGGATGGGGGGAGATTTCACCCCGGAGAAGGGGGAAGGGAAGGATGGGGTTAGTCTCGCCCCGAGAGAAGGGGGGAAGGGCTGGGTTTGGCTTCACCCCCTGAAGGAGGGGGGAAGGGCTGGGTTTGGCTTAACCCCCTGGAGAAGGGGGAAGGGCTGGGTTTGGCTTCACCCCCCTTAGAAGGGGGGAAAGGCTGGGTTTGGCTTCACCCCCCGGAGAAGGGGGGGGGGCTGGGTTTGGCTTGACCCAGGCGAGAGGGTCGCGGTGCTGGACATACAACCTACGAACCCTGGGGGCTGGAAGACAGGTTTTCAACCTAGGGAACGTGAACTGAAACACACCAACCTGTGGGTGGATGTTGGATGACTCCCCCGGAGGTAAACAAATCCCAGGGGAGGCCCTCTTCCCAGGGGAGGCCCTCTTCCCAGGGGAGGCCCTCTTCCCAGGGGGGAGGCCCTCTTCCCAGGGGGGAGGCCCTCTTCCCAGGGGGGAGGCCCTCTTCCCAGGGGGGAGGCCCTCTTCCCAGGGGGGAGGCCCTCTTCCCAGGGGAGGCCCTCTTCCCAGGGGAGGCCCTCTTCCCAGGGGGGAGGCCCTCTTCCCAGGGGAGACCTTAAGACCCAGTGGGCACACATTAGATTGATTGATGGATGAAGATAAAGCCACCCAAAAGGTGGCACGGACATGAATAGCCCGTAAGTGGTGGCCCTTTTGAGCCATTACCAGCATCAGTAGCTGATACTAGAGGTCTGTGGAGGTGCGACTGCACCCTACGGAGCAAAGTATTAGAGAGTAACTTGAATTTAAAGTTGTCACTGTTGGTATAGTGACCACAGGGGGGGGGCAGAGACCCCCCCCCCCCCCCTCCTCCAAGGGTATATCTAGGGTAGAAAGCACGCATCTTTCTACGTAGAAATTGAAATAAGTTTATTGAGGTAAAATACACACAAAGGGACGAGGTAGCTCAAGCTATTCTCACCCCGTTCAGTACATCGTGTTAATACATACATAGACACACCCATCACAAACAATAAACATATTACCGAACATTGAGAGATAAACATTATACAGTTCCTCCTCCTAGGTAGAAAGCAGTTAGCTCTGCCAAACTAGCTCATTACTCGCGTATATGTTTTTCTCTAGCCATAACCTAGATAGGAGGAAGGGTGGGAATAGCCTAAGCTACGCTATCCTTTTGAGAAGTGTCGCATTATCTCGATAAACTTGCTTGAATTTCAACCCGAATGGGGTAAAAATTAATAATTTGCAAAAGTATATTTTCACCTCAATATCCTACCTTCTCCTTGGTAGTCTTCCCTCCTCACATAAGGCGTCAAATAAATTCCCAAACTACGTATTAAATATACTTTTTTTGAGTAGATTCCATCAGGCAAATAGCTCATATAACTCGCTTTCTGGTGTATTGTCCAGTTATTTATCTAACAGAATTATCCTGTCTTTTGAGGAACTGTGAAGTCAGTGGATATATAAAACACAAAAAAGTACAGTCCAGAGTAATTACCCTCGTACGTGATCCAATTTATTTTGATCGGAGGAGAATTTGTAATGCAGAGAATAATTCAAAAGTTTTGTAATTAGCGCGATTTAACACTTGACTGTTTAATAGCCTTGTTGCTATCAAGCTTGTGCAGTGTGTTGGTAAATTTATGCACCTAATTTGTCGACGAATAAGACGATTCTAATTTACTAAATTGTGAGAGGGAGGGGATTGGGTTGGGGGGGGGGGGGCAATCGTTTATACATTTATTGAAAGTAGTTATTAAAGGGATTTGAAGGAGGGGGAGGGCGGAGTTGTAATTTTGCTAAGATATGTGGAGGATTGATTCAAAAACATAGTTCTTACCCGCCTGCAAGCACAGTAGCTATATATAGGTCACAAAGCAAGTTATTTAGGCTAGATAATTCATAGGTATACCAAAATATGTTATTGATTCTGAGTATGCTACCACCTGGGCACTTTTAAGTGTATCTTGAGTATACTTTTAAAACTCTCGTAAATTTTTGCCAGCCCTCGCTTAACCCATTAAGCTAATTCACTGGCACTGTCTTCAGTCAATCGTCATTAAGTCTAAAATGTAATAGTTTTGTTTAAATTGGCAGTGTCAAAATCGGGAATTAATGGAGGTTAAATATTAGAAGGCTTGAACGCATTCCCTTCGCTCAGGGTCCCCTGTTACCTAGTAATAAATAGGTACCTGGGAATTAGACAGCTGCTACGGGCTGCCATTCCTGGGGATGAGTAACACAAAAGGCCTGAATTCCTGAATTCAAAAGGAACACAAATGTGTCCCTTTTTGAATTCGGGATATTTGTGTCGATTAGAAATTTTTCTTGAACAATTCGCCGATAGTGACAAATGGTTTTTCTTCAGGTGGAGGCATGACGCTGGCGCAGATGCGAGATTCTCAACACCTGCAAGAAAGACACTTAGACGCATGGACACGAGCAAAGACGTATTTTTTAATATATCCAGAGTGCTCACACCTCCACCAAGATCCTAACTCGGGAACTGATAACAGCTGTAATAAAGGCCTTCTGTCCAGGCAGGTGTTAGTTAATGCATAAAGGGTAAACAGTCACGCCACAAGGAAAACACACAAATTTTAAGATGTTTGTAAGCACAATTGTATGAAAAGTCCAATTTTCTCTCCAATGGTTGAAAGCAACTCCCCCCTTTCATAAATAATTTTATTAACACATTTCTTCGTCTGACAAAGCCAGACGACAGCAGTAGCCCCGGCAACTGCTTAATTGTTGCTGGTACCATTTAAAAGGCGGTAACTATAAATGGCTTCGTGTGTAAACAACAAAAGAGGAAGAGAAAGCTCATACGAAGAAGAGAAAAGACCTTTCCAGTGTCTTACTTGTGGGAAGAAATACCGAAAGCGCCACCACCTTAAATACCACGAACTTAAGCATGCCAAGAAGATGCCATTTATTTGTAAAGGTTGTCGAATGAGGTTCAGAACTTTCCAACAATTTACTGAACACGTTTTGATCCAGAGATGGAATAATACCCACGTGTCCACAAGAGACGCTGAAGTTTAAATGACGTACTCTGCCAGAGTAAATTTAGTAGTTTTTTTTAAGACAAAATTAAAGATACTGTTTTAGGAACATTTTAAATGTTTTATTCATTTGACTTAGTTGTGTACAATTGTTATTTTTTACCTCGTGGTGTTTTTGTTTGTTTTAATGAGGGATAATGTTTTTGTCAAGGCTGCATGGATCGACTGTCGAATGTTTAGACGACGGGAACAACGCCGTGACTGACGGCAGAGATTAATCTTTGAAATTGTTGAATGTGAAGAGTAGAGAACGACTTTTTGGAGGTCTTTTTATTGTACCTTTGTGCAACTTAAAAATTGTATAAATTTGTGTAGGTGCGTATCTGTAAGATACTTTGACTTTTGTAATATAAAAACTTAATCACAGAATTAAGGGTTTCGCTAAGTTTTATTGATCCATAGTGGTCATTAATGTGGGGGTGACGCAGGTGTACTGTGGGGGGGTCCGTCATTAACCCCCCCCCCCCCAGCCTTCTTTGGCAGGCGTTCCCTAGGTAGGATCTGCCCTTTAGTAACGAATAATTAGTTTAAGACGAATCATTGCGATATTGAATATATTTTTTCTCGAGTTTTCTTACCACTTCCTTCCCCCCCCCCTCATTCCTCACAGCCCCTTTCCCCCCTTATCGAACTCTGTATAATGGTTTTAATGCATTGTTTTCATTCAGGACGTGGGAGGTATACCTATATATGTATATGGATGAATGAATGAATGATTAGTTTTAGAAAACTAGATTGATTCTCAGATTAGTTAACAAATATTAACCATGACTGGGACATGATTTAAAAATTTTATTTTTCACTATTAGTAGCATCTTCGCTGTAGTTTGTGAATTTTATTAATTATTGTAATTAACATTATCATTTGTATGTATTTCCGAATAAAATTAGCAAGTCCGAAATAACTGTTTTCACCTAATTGGAGTAATGTACTGAAATATTGGAACTAATGGAGAAAGATATACCTATTAGAAACCCTGTAAAGGTATTTGTTTCAAGACGGTTGACTATGCAAGAGTGAAGCAACATTGCTATCGAAAACTATGACTTAAGATGTGCTTCACTAATTTAACAGTTGGCAATAAGCAAACTTGTAAAGAAACCAGATTTTAAGATTTTTCTTGCCTCCTTATCTTTTGGAAAACTTAAAAGTACAATGGAATGTAGTAGAGAAGCAGAGAAATAAGAGATCAACGATGATGCTGTTGCAAGCAATTGCTTGCATGAAACAGGCCTATTAAACCATTTCCTATATGATTATACATACTACCTGCAGGCTACAGTGGTTAAAATATTGCAACTTCTTGGGTTCGTAATTCTCGCTTCCAGTTACTGACATTTATCCTTCAGAAACTTGCAAATAGCAATGATTTTTTGTGCGTTTTTACGCAAATCCTTTTACTTCAGTACTTAAAAATGAAATTACTGCTTGGTATTGATTTCTGTAACCACCTACTTCCTGCAACCAGGCAACATTTTCTTTTATACATAGAGCCACAAAAAACAGTTTACCACAACAGTTTACACAATGCAAAATATTCTGAAGATATTAAGACATCCACTTTAGTCTGCTGTCCTCCAGTAAAAGTCCTAGAGGATTCTGCCTAGTTTAACATCGTTCATCTTGAGTATTTCTGCTCTGGTATTGCTTTTTTTTTAATTTCCAAGACATTTTGACTATTCGGCTAAGAAAGTAACTAACCCGGCTTAGCACTTCCTCTGGATAACTGTTTTCATTCACATGCATAAAAAAAGTTAATAAATAAAAGTTCATGATGAATTTTGCATATTTTTTTTCTTAATTTGACATAAATAAGCCCACAAAATTAGACTTTGTTCAGATCAGGTTATTGTAAAATGGAATACGAAGGAAATGTCGCTGGTCTAAAGTAGGTCAAAAGATGGTTCTTAAAAGATTATAGATAAATGGTCTAAAAAATATTAGAAATTTTACCATTGTTACACTTGATAAACGTGTGATGCAATTTGCATGTTTTGAAGTGATGCAATGCTAACGTAACGTGATCATGCACAACAAGAAAGTTCCCGAGATAAAGAACTTAAGTGGTTAAAGAAACAATGACGCTTTTCCTCGACATGCTATGCATGATGGTTGCTTTGCAAGAGCACCAATATTGTGTACTCTCACAATATTGTATATAATATAATATTGTTTGTTAATTGTTCCGCTGCGCCGTTTACTGCCTTTAATGTTACTGTAGAGTAGAGGTGCCTTCTGAAGACTACGGCGATTGCATTTTTCTTCTTGCTTCGAGTTGATGAGGTGCCACTCAGACACACACAATGTATGAACACGAGTGTAGGTAATTTTATTTTCTCTCCCCATATCTCCATTGGCGGCCTTGCTCTTCAAGAAGTATCTTGGAATAAAAGGACATTCCATAATGTAAGCGAACACATTCACCAACCCATCCGGCCCTCCTGGCGAGGGAATTCACTCTAAGTATCTTCAACAATTTCCGTTTGACAGTCAAAGCCTTCAGTCATCAGTTATCCGCGCAGGGAAACTAGTGCTCGGTCAAAGAATAGGTTTCTTCCCCCTCGCCAGTGCAATCAATTCTGGAAAACTGACTGTTTCCTCAACGTGCGATGCTCTCTTCCCCCCCCTATTTTGTGGTGTCCAGACATGATAAGTCCGCATTTTTAGCCATGTTGGTTCACTGCGTTAACAGGTGGTGGTGTCGACAACCCTGCATATTCGTAGTCCTTTGCATCACTATAAAATGGAAGCATCCCTCTATAACACATGTGTCAGGACAGCATCTTTTTCAGAGTCCAGACGTCGATCGGCTCCGACGCCAGGGATTCTTCTGTAACATATAACTATGTTCGCACTTCTCGCAGGAGCCCTCGTCCGACTGCTCTTCTGGACCCCTCAAAACTCTGAAATCTTTTCAGAGTTCTTGTTTCAGAGACCTCGTCTCAAACATCCGATTCTCCTGCCCCTTGGGATCTCTTCTATGGAGTGTCCTCCATCAAATTCACTCCTGATACCCGACGTTTTTTCTACCCGAGGCCATCCGGCTCTTGCTGGCTTGTCTTCCAAGCATCCCATTAGCATTCCAAGTCCCTCCAGGAGTCCCATTTTCCATCCTTCCCTTAAGAGTCCTTTCTTCTGCCTCCTGGGCCATCCTAGCACCCTCACGGTTACAGAGGATGTTCACCTTCGTCCCTTGTCACTGGTCTCCGCCTCGAACCGTTAACGACAGTGCTGCTCCTGCTCCTCTCCAAAACCCTACGCCTACATCTTCCACCCAAAGGTGAAAACCGATTCCATCGTCCTCAAGATCTCATTCGGTCTCTTGTCCATCACGACATCTCCCGGTTGCGGAGTTGGATGCTGTCGCTTTGTCACACTACACGCTCGAGTATTAGTTTGGAGGATGGCCTCGAGCTGAGGTCATTCTCGAACAGTCTTACCCTCTCTTTCCTGGATGTCTCGGCTTGTTTCCTTGCACGTCTTGTGCCGTTTCTCCTTAGATGTTTTCCCGTATGCCACATTGTCCTATATTTTCACTCATCGTGACCTTAGTACCCTCACGCGCGTGCGTGTGTGTGTGTTTCGTTAGTCATAAGAGCGTTCCTGTGACACCAGACACCAGACCTGGAGCTCAGTGTGATTCTTTTCTCTGGAAAAAATGATATACCAAAAATGCATCGTGTTTTGACGATGCGAGACGTTAACAATACCCCGATTGGATGTCGGTCATTAAGGGAGAAAAAGTATTCCCGTAGGATCTTGCGTTTTGTGATTGATGCTGCCTTGAATTTTTCTTGTTTGGAGGATTAGAGTGAAAAAAAGATCAATTAGAGGCGCTTCAGGTGATGGGTAAATATTGGGTTTCTTCAAGTTGTTGGAAGGACAAGTTAATTGTTGTTGGATATTGTTTGTTTTATTATTGCAGTTATTGTGGTTCCTGGTACTGTTATTTGTTATTGATACAACCATTTTAGGAACCCCCTTTCTTTCCCTCCATCCATTCCCTTCTCTCTCACTTTCCTTACCCCTCTCTCACCTCCCCCCCCCCACCCCCCTCTTTCACCTCCCCCCCCTCCACCCCCTCTCTCTCTCTCCTACCCCTACCCCTCTCTCACCTACCCCCACCCCCTCTCTCACCTTCCCCCCCACCCCCCTCTTTCACCTCCCCCCCCTCCACCCCCTCTTTCTCTCTCCTACCCCCCACCCCCTCTCTCACCTACCCCCCACCCCCTCTCTCACCTACCCCCCCACCCCCCTCTCTCAACCCCCCCCCCCTCCCCCCTGCTCTTTCTCCTTCCCTACTAACCCCCCCTCCCACACCACTGTTCTGGAAACATCACTATCGCCGGGGCCATAGTGGGAAATGACGAGGCGGGGCCATAGTGACGTAATGACGAGGCGGGGCCATAGTGACGTAATGACGAGGCGGGGCCATAGTGACGTAATGACGAGGCGGGGCCATAGTGACGTAATGACGAGGCGGGGCCATAGTGACGTAATGACGAGGCGAGGCCATAGTGACGTAATGACGAGGCGGGGCCATAGTGACGTAATGACGAGGCGGGGCCATAGTGACGTAATGACGAGGCGGGGCCATAGTGACGTAATGACGAGGCGGGGCCATAGTGACGTAATGACGAGGCGGGGCCATAGTGACGTAATGACGAGGCGGGGCCATAGTGACGTAATCTCTAGAGTCTCTTGAGGTTACGTAATCTCAGACTGAAGTAAGACTTCAGACGTGTTTCTTCCTCTTTTCTCACCATTATCCAAGACTTCTTTGACCAGGGGGAAAAATAAACTAAAGAAATCAACAGAAACATCTTTGCAAGATGTTGTTTGAGAGTTACTGACTTAGTGGACTCAAAATCACTCCAGATTTGAAACTGTTGTATTTAGCTCCAGAGTAAACGCTTCGTTCATCTTTTTTTCTCTCTCTCGATGCGGAATGGTCTCGGTAAGTGTGTGTGGGGAGTTCTGCTACTCCCAATAGCTGGGTTACCTTTTTTTTTTTAATGTAACATAGTGTGAATAGGTTTGCAATTTTTTGTTCGATTTTGTTATGGAAAGACTCGGGTTTTTTTTTTTTTGCCAGTTTCTTGAAGTCAGCTTGATCGACAATTTTTTTTTTGTTTAGGGTTCTCAGTAGGTGTATTTTTCTCTCAATCGTAAGGTACACACACACACACACACACACACACACACACACACACACACACACACACACACACACACACACACACACACACACTCACTCACTCTTTCTCTCTCTCTCATTCTGTAATAGAAAGATTGATTTTGCGGTTTGTTTTTCTACTTCACTAATTTTTGCTGAAAGTTTTGCACCATGCCAAAGGCAGCCTCCAAC